AGAGAGAAAGAAAGAAAGAAAGAAAGAAAGAAAGAAAGAAAAAGAAAGAAAGAAAAAGTAAGTGAAAAAGAAAGAAAGAGAGAAAGAAAGAGAGAAAGAAAGAAAGAAAGAAAGAAAGAACGAAAAAAAAGAAAGAAAGCTGTGCACGAGGGTGTTTTTTCATGTGTACTCCTGTACAATATATATATATATATATATATATATATATATATATATATATATATATATATATATATATCAGTATATATTCTCACTAGCTCTTTCTGTACCTCTCTTCTACTCTCTGCTTTCTCTACCTCCCACCCTCTCAGTTTCCCCTTTCTCTTTTCTCTTTGTCTTCTTGCTTTTCTATGCATACACAGACAACGTGTCACGATTCCACGATTCAAGTTCATAAGTGCATCATGGGGCCAGCCCTACTGGGTTACAAAGTAACGGTACACAAAGGCGAATTACATTAGTATTCTTACATTTTCGTTTAGGTACTAACCATGTTTATAATGTTTGCAGCAAATCTCAAAAAGACAAAAAAGGTGCAGTTATTTCTTCTCTGTAATCTACCAGTGGAACTAAACTAAATTCACATCTGAACCCTTACAGACTCCTAAAAAGAGACTGATAACATGCATTTCCCTCTCTCTGGTCAAATTTGGGAGCCTAGGAAACCATTAAAATAATAGGGAGCACAGAAACTTATTTTAATGTAGCTAGCATGAATTTTACTTGGGATATTTCAGTAGCAGCCCAACCCATTTTTTAAGCTCAGTGTGCATGGAGCCTAAATGGTATTTTGGGTCTGTTTGGTAGTGCCTGCCATGTCCTTCAAAAACACACACACTTACCTGTAAATATCCGAGTTAACATTGTTTCCATACTTTTCATACACCTTGCATCAGGCTTCTGTTAAAGCACTGTCCTTAGGGATAGGATCAGGAAACAGTAGTACAAACCGGTACATTGTAATCAACGCTGATGATACTAATGTAAGATCATCCCACTACTACACTATACATAGCTATAGTGAGCGTGCTGTCCTTTGTTGTATTTTGTTAAAACTTGTATTTCCTTACAGAAGATACAGAACAGCCTAGAGCTTCCTTAGTTGTAGATAAACTCCGTTTTATTTCAGGAAACAGCCCCAATAAACTTAGGTCTCTTCCTGCAAATGATCACAGCCTCACTTAACAAAGCTGAGCTGAAAAATTCTTTATTGCTAGCCAACTGGGGTATATGGTCAATAAGTTTTGTTTTACTCAAGGTTTACTAATGCCTGTATAAGACACCAACATGCTTGACTTACCACTTTTGTAACATCTTTAAAATAAAAAGCAATATTCAACAGTGTAATAATTTAGATTTATATAGATGTAAACGAATGCACTCCCAAACTCTGATTTCTTTTATTGAAAATATCTGTAGTTATAGGTGTACTAACTTCTGTCTTTCTCTCTCTCTAATATCAACTATCCAAAATGTACCATGATATTAATAAATCTTACATTTTATGATAATTTCTTATAAACTGGATACATTCTGATGTATATGTTAATAAAAAAAAATAGCTTACAAACAGAGAATGCACAAGATAGATCGATAGATAGATAGATAGATAGATAGATAGATAGATAGATAGATAGGTAGGAGATCTGTAACTATGCTGATGAATTGATTAGTTACTGGGCTCTTGCTGTTGTCCTTTTATATAATATATATATATATATATATATATATATATATATATATATTTGCACTATAGTAACCACACATTCTCTGTCTGTTAACTACAAACATCAGAATATAATCAGATTGCACCCTGTTTAAAGAAATATGTATATACATATATATTTATTTATTATAGGGTGAGGGCTCTTGATATTGTCACTTTAAATGCTGTGCATATGTATCTGTGGGTCTTTGTAAGCCATTGTTTGATCAACAGAAACATCACAATGCACCCAGTTTAAAGAAAAAAAGAAGTTAAAAAAAAAAAAAACAAAAAAAAAACATACATATATATATATATATATATATATATATATATATGTTATGGGGTGAGGGTTCTTTCCAATGTCATTTTAAATGTCGTGGATGTGCTCTATAATAACCATTCATTCTCTGTCTGTGTGTATTTGTAAGCTATTGATTGAATAACATAAACACACCCGGTTTAAAGAAAAAAGAAGAAGAATATATATAATATACATATAAAATCAAATGATGCACTCAATATTTAAAAGGACAATAGGAAGAGCCCAGTAGCTGATCAATTCACCAGCCCAGGTTTTAATGTTCTCTTAGACCATTTGATTACAGGGCACATTAATGTATAATCAAATGCACCTCATAAAATTTTATGGAATCTCATAAAAATCATGATAGTACTCTTCCACCTGTTTTTAAAAAACACAGTAAGCTTTCTCCAGCAATGCACACAGAATGGCCTCTCCTATGTATGTAAATATGAACTGTTTCTGAATGCTGTTGAGCACAAGCAACGTGCTGCTCCTGCTGCCTTCCCCCTTCCTTTCCCCATAGCTCCTTGTTTGTGGCCAGTAAAACAGGTTTTATACCCAGAGGTCAATAATCTGAGCATGCTTTTGCCTGGATCTGTAGTGTGGGTCCCCACAGTTTAAAGGGTAATTAAACAAATTCAGCAAAGTGATTAAAAAATGAATGGCAGGGAGAGAGCATGGAGAAAGAAATAGTCCCTGGCTTGGGCAGCTGTAACAAGAAGCAGAATCTAAAAAGAGGCACAAAGGTGGAATCAGGCGGTGCCCCCCTCCCCTCCCCCCACCCGGATGCTTCCTTCCATATATCTCGGCTTAGTTACACTTTTATTTTTAATTGTATGTGTTTTTAATCACATCAGCCCCGTTAAGCGGATTGATTTACTCTGTATTGGTAAATATGATCACGTGGAGCTCACAACCAATGGACGGAGGATGCAGTCTGCAAAATACTATGATTGTTCTCAGGGAGGGTATTACATACAGTTAAGAGTGTAACCTTTTATATGAGTGAGAGGGGAGCCTAAAATGTCGTCAAGTGGCACCATAAGTAACTATTATGTGGATTCTATCATAGGACATGACAACGAGGAGGTGTACGGCGCTAGATTCTCCCAGGGTGGTCACAGCACGACCTCTAGGCCACCAGGTGTTGGGGAGCCTTCAGATTTCTCTTCTTGCAGCTTCGCCTCCAAATCGGGCGTCTTCCCCACCTCCTGGTCCACGGTGCACCCCCAGCCTTCCTCAGGAATGACTGGCCTCTACCACCCCTACATGGCTCAGTCCCACCTAGGCTCAGACAGCAGCAGATACACGGTGCGATCCTGGCTGGAGCCCATCACCAGCTCCGCGTCCTCCTTCCCTGGATTCCACCCCAACGGGCGCAACTACGGGATCAAACCTGAGAGCACCCCGAAAAGGACCGAGTGCTCCTCCTTTGAACCCCAAGGGATCGGCCTGGCTGAGTACACGTGCGATTCCTTTGCAGAAACGCCAGAGAAACCTCCACCTAAAGAGCTGGCGACCAGCGAAGAACCTGAGCAGGACACTGAATGTAAAGAGGAGAAGCAGCAGCCACAGCAGCAGCAAAAACAGCAGCAACAACAGCAACAACCACAACAACAAATTGACCCAAGTAAGTACAAAAAAAAGAGGAGAGGGAGCTAGAAAAGAAATTGCTGTCTGATTTATAGCCCGAACCTGCAAGGCTCTAAATGTGCAAAACTGATAGTTTTACTAACCTATAAAACCGTCTAGACGCCTAGCATATAGCCCAAGCAAGCAACAAGAGGCTATAAAATTATTCTATTACTCACATAACCACCTAAGATCAAGACATCATTGGTACTGTAAACACTCCGGGTGCATTAAGCCTTCCTTTTATGATAATTCTTTAGAAAAAGTGGTACAGCAGGGTCACCATCGAATTTTAGCTGCATTTTCAAAGCATAGCCTATGATCCTCTATCTCTTTCTTTTTTTTTTTTATCTTTTCTAGACAATCCTGCAGCAAACTGGATCCATGCTCGTTCCACCAGGAAGAAGCGATGCCCCTACACCAAATACCAGACCCTGGAGCTGGAGAAGGAATTCCTCTTCAATATGTACCTCACCCGGGATCGCCGCTATGAAGTGGCCCGAATTTTAAACCTCACTGAAAGACAGGTTAAAATCTGGTTTCAGAACAGAAGGATGAAAATGAAGAAAATGAACAAAGAAAAAGGCAATAAAGACCAATAACAGCCTCGGATACGCACTGAGTGATGCTCTGTACTATTTGGAACACTGAAATATATAATAGGTCCATTTTTTTGGAGATAGATGTAAATGTGTTGTGTATTTTGCAAAAAAAAAAAAAAAAACAAAACCTCCTTTGATGTCAGTGCGCTTCATGATGCTACTTTTTGAAACTGTTTCCGTTCGGTTCATTTTGTGATTGCACGCTAGAATTTCCAGGTAGGTATTGCTAGATTTAAAAAAAAAAAAAGAGACTTTTTTAGGGATTGACCTGCAAGTAGTGTAGCTCTGTTAATAAGATAGCAGAAATGACTGTGGGTTGTGCTACATTAAAGTCAGCAGTAGGGAAATGTTCATTGCTTACATTCAAACCAGTATAACTCCATTTTTATTTTCCATATCCTTGCGAATTGATGCAAAATGCAATCTGCATGTAATGTCACACTAATATCTATTATTTGTGACAACAGATAAAGGTATACACACTAGATTGTTCTAATAGCAATTCAGGTTCAAAACAATTCTTTCTTTTGCCACCCTTTTATTTTATTATGGCCACATTGTTTTGCAAGACTGGTCAGTTTACATTTTAATAATATACAAAAAATTACAAAATTAAAAAATCTGGTGAGAGGTTAGACTGATCCCTACTTACTGTTAATGAATTTGGCCTCAAATAAGTGATAATTGCAAAATTCGTTGAGAAAAGAGAATATTTTATTCAGTTCGCATTATCTCCATGTGTGTTAATAAAACAGAAACAATGTTTTGACTTGAAGAATAAAGAAATGGTATAGGAATAATAATTTTAAATTTGGAATTGGAATGGTATAGGAATATTAGTTTGAAAATAGGAATTGGGATTGTCTAGGAATAATAGGTTTAAATTCGGAATTGGAATGGTATAGGGAAAATAGTTTTAAATTTGGAATTGGAATGGCATAGGGATAATGGAATTGGAATGGTATAGAAATATTAGTATAAAATTTAGAAGAATTGGAATGTATAGGAATAATAGTTTTAAATTTGGAATCGGAATGGCTTAGTAATAATAGAATTGGACTGGGATAGGAATATTAGTATAAAATTTAGAATTGGAATGTATAGGAATAATAGTTTTAAATTTGGAATTGGAATGGCATAATTGTTTGAAATTAGGAATTGGAATGGTATAGGAATAACAGTTTGAAATTTGGAACTGAATGAACAATGTTTGAGAGCATCGGATTTAGAAATATTCAGGGATACCGCACTGTTTAATAAGTGGCTTGTAACTGCCAACAAAAAATTCTCACGCTTCATCATAGAATGTGGAAAAGTGACATTTTACAACTAGTTTTCTACAATCAGAACGTTCAATGCCAGGGACTGTTACATCTCCCATCCACACATCTTTTATTGGTGTATTTAAGGACTGATGGGGGTTCCCACTGTTTTTTTGTTTGTCTGTTTTTGACTTTCCACCTCCACAAATCCTAAAATAGGAGGTTATTAGGAGAGAGCTATTATTATTTTTTTTCCTTTGGAAATAAGCAGAAAGCACTAAGTTATTTTTTTATGTTTACATTTGTTTGTTACCGTTCATGACTTGTGTTTGGACAATCTGATATTATAAAAGGAAAAAATAAAGCAATTGCCCTTGTAGAAAAAAAAAGAGGTGTTGTATTTGAAGCAACTTCACAGACAGCAACATACACTTAGCATTCTTTTAAAACAGGAAGGACTAGGGTGTAATAAAGTCATTTGAACGGCTAGACGTCTGGACTTAATGGTTTTATGGTGGACCATGGTGCTTTTTTCTTTTAAAAAAAGGGCTTATTTTGGGGTTTGTGTCTCTTGAAAACGAAATGCTGAGAAACTCGGATTATTCTGGACCATAAAAGCACATATGTCCATGTGCATCACATCCGAGCACCAAAAATCTCATTCAAAGCTGGGTAGGCCTTTTTCTGTTTACAAATACCTTGTTACTATAATTTCCTTGGTTAAAAAAAAAAATGAAAAATTATATATATATATATATATATATATATATATATATATATATATATATATATTATATATATATCAACATCTGAATGTGAACTAGGGCTATTGGGTTAGGAAAATTAATTTAACGTACGTCCTCATCCACCAATAACAATCCACTAATAATTTTTGGATTTTTTTTAAAGCATAAAATGTATTCCTGGCAAAATTAGTTGTTTAAGCTATGTTAAAAAAATCAAGAGGACAAGAGGAAAAATAATGAACCAATTTCTTGATTACATATATAAAAAAAATAGCAAAAAGCATAAAAATGAACTAAAATCAGCTTCCCATTATGTATATTTTATTAGAGTCGTACCACTGTTTTTTAATGATGTTGTGCATTGTAAAATGGATGTGTGATAGGCAGGCATCTCCCATTCATTCATTAATAAGATGTTGAACAATGATGACTGGGTTCATTGGGCGTTCAATTTTTATTCCCCGATTTTATATTCTGAAGAGGAAAAGGAAGACAAATGGAAACTTGTTACATAAGCCCAAGCATATGGGTTAAAGTCTCGACATTTAAATGTTCTGTAAATGACAAGGTTTGCAGCGTTATTCCTACAATCCTGATAACAGCAATAACTTCAATTGCTTTGAAATAAACATTTATGGTAAGATAAACAAATTTATAGCCCGACCGATCTGCTTGTGACCACTAGGTAGCGCTGTTACTCCATTTGTTTTACAATGTATCTGTCATGTTCTAAATGTCACTCTCCTTTTACATATTGAGTCCACATCAATCTTTTCTGCTCACATATTTGCAAAATGATATGTATAACAGAAAGAATGCCATAATACTGAAAACATAAGACAGAATTACATTCCTGTAAAGAATATACAAGGTAAATACTGGGAGGAATAGCCTCCTTTCCTGTGTAAATGCATTATGTGTTTTACTGTAAACCAGGGAATACTTTTACTTATTAGCAGTAGGGATCAATAATAGCAGGAATATTCAGTAAGATCACTACGCTATCCATGATTAGTGTACCCATGCATATACTTTATTTAAGATATTCAAAATATTTATATTAGATATTCAAAGCTTGCTCTAGAAAATATTCTATTTAAAAAAAAAAAAGGCCAGGTTTGTAGTTATAGTTCCACCAGTTTTGACAGCTATATGCTCTCGTATAATCTATAAAACAGATATTTGTTAAGCATTTAAACATTTAAAATTAACTGTACTCATTATTTAATTTATTTAGTATAAAGGAAATATTTCCAATATATACAAAAGGTAATATTAACATTTTACTGTTCTGTTAGAAATGAAATATGCTATTATGCATTTGTCCATTTTCCTAATTGCTGTCAGCAAATACCTTTACAATTTTATGCATCTCAGTTGTGTAAAATGCGTAATGTATGGGAAAGTAGATGGGCTGAAGCAGACGGAAAGTGGGGTTATTTACTAAAACAGGAGAGTGCAAGATCTGGTGCAGCTCTGCATAGAAACCAATCATCTTCCTTTTTTTTTTTGCCAAAGTTTAACTGAACAAGCTGAGTTTAGAAGCTGACTGGCTACCATGCACACATGCACCAGATTCTGAGTGTACCAGGTTTAGTAAATCTTTCCCAAAGACTCAGATTATCAAAAATATTAATTAGACCAAAACCTATGAAAGCACAGTCATGACCTGTCTTTGAACATCTAAAGAGGGTATTAAAGATGCCTATAACTAATAAATGACAACTTTTCAATTTGGCCTTTTTTCTGGATCAAGTGATGACATAATGTCAATACAGCAGAACACAATAGTCCAGAATGAGCATATTTGGGGAACCTATATGGTCAGACAGGACGTCAGGGCTGTCTGCATGCAGTTACCCCTCTATTGCATTAAACAGGAGCACTTGTGTCATTAGAGTGCTCCTGTTCAGTCCAGAGCTCCTAAAGTACCTTTTGATGAGGTGATTGTGCAACTACAATCACTAGAGAGCTATTACCTATTTTAGCGTATAGTAAGGATGACTTATATTAACATACAATGTAACTTCCAGGTTTGCTATTTATTTATTTATTTTGCATGATTACATTGGTTCAGATTGGACCAACAAAAGTATTGATATTCAATATGTGGCTGATCCCTGAGGAATTGGAGAATCACTGTAACAGCCACTGCTACTCCAGTGGTCCTTGCTGCCTTCAAGGTTTTGTACCAAGCAGCTGCCCTGTTGCACAGAAACCACAGGGGATCACTTGCTTGGCACAGGTGACATTAAGAGAGAGCAAAAATCATTTTCTGAATAGATGAGACAGAGAGGAAGAGTGGTGACATCACAGTCTCCTCCTTGTCCAATCAGAGAACATCTTGTATTAACTGAGAAAGATACAAGGCATCCACTGAATGGCACCTGTGTTGAGCAAGTCATTCCCTTGGATTGCTATGCAGCAGGGCAGCCACTTGGCACAAGAACCATAAGATAGTGGTGAAGTAGTAGCAGTTACTACACTAGTTCTCTGCTTCCACAGGGATCAGCTGGGTATGGTCCAAGCTGGAACAATATGACCATAAAAAATAACGTAGAATTTAGCCTAAATTATAGTAAACATAACTCCCCAACTCCTTTGTTATCTTTACATAGAAAATAAATCTAGATAGGATTTTTAAGCAAGTAAGCAGTCACTTTTTGTGTAACAAATAAAAAATAGGTGTTACCCCAATTTAGCTCCAAAAAGTTAAAATACATTTTAAGTAAACTATCCCCAATTGTTTAAAATAGCAAAAAGCTGCACTGGTAATTTTCACTGCATCATTTCTGTAGTAATTATAGATTGTAGCTCAGTGCTCCAAATAAGTCCCATCACAAATACAAAAAGAAAGGTATTCCCAATCTTTTCAGTGCAAACAATTAATCTTGCATAGCCACTTCCACAGGCAATCATATGAGCTTTTAATTAAAGGAAAATGTTTTGAACTTTACACTCCCCTTTACTGAAGAGATTGGTCACTGGAACA